ATATATATATATATATATATATATATATATATATATATATATATATATATATATATATATATATATATATATATATATATATATATATATATATATATATATATATATATATATATATATATATATATATATATATATATATATATATATATATATATAGGTTGGGTCTCTTCTTCTATACTCCCTCCGTCCCACAAAACTTATCTGGTTTGTTTTGAGTTTTAAAGGATTTAGAAGGAGTATATTTTGTTGAGTTTCTAAAAATGTCCTTGGATGTGACGGATAGATAAATAGTGAAAAACGTGATGTGATAGGTAGGTTAAGATTTAGTAGGGGTAAATATGATATGACTTTTGATTGGAAATGAGAAATGTTTTTTGAGACATAAAAAATGAAAGAAAAAAGGTTTTGTGGGACCGAGAGAGAAAAAAATTGTGTTTGTCCAGTGAAATTTTTTTTCTTCATGTTTGTCTAAATTTTGGTATGTGTATCTAAATTTTGTTGCATCTAGTTTTTCGAAAGAAAAAAAAATTGTGTGCATGGCTTGTTTTCTATGAAGAAAATAAATTACTACTCCCGTTCTTGAGTATTTCGGGATCATTCTTTTTTAATAATTGACCTATAATTAACCGAAATAATATATATTGTATATCAATTAGATAAAATAAAATTTTGGAAAATTTTTATAAATTAAATCTAATAAAGTCATTTTGTATCAATATCTAATACTCTTTCCGTTCCAAAAACTATTTCCCTTTTATTTTTCTCGTCCCACAAACTTCTTTTTTTTTATATTAAAAAACACTTTTACTCTACGAATTCCTAATTACCTAACTATCACATCATACCTTTTTACTAATAATGTATCCATTACATCATACTATTAAACATCACATCAAGAGTATTTTTGAAAAATCAACACAATAATATTTCTCCTTAAATTTTTTAAAAGTCAATATGGGAATATCTTTATATCACTTTTATTTAATTTGGGGTCATATTTTGTTAATTTTGACAGAAAAAAATGAAAAGTAGACATGGAGTATAAAAAATAAAAGTTAACTTCTTCATTGTATACACTCAAATACTCAATATTGATCGGGTCAACAATTTATTGGTATGTTCTTTCAGGGGCAGCGCTTCCGAGGAGGGCTAAAGGCGCGGCAGCCCCTGCAAGGTCTAAGGTGCAGATTCCTGGCTGGGGTCGAGATTGGTTAAAGAGTTTTCCGGAATTTTTCGAAATTTTTATTTCGGACAAAGTATTGTGTTAAAAATTCACTTAAATTTTTTGTTTTAGAATTTTGGTTTTTCGGATGAATGCGTCTTCTAAATCTTTCGCATGACTAGACGCAAATTTAGAGAAAAGACGCGACTGTATCTCATCATTCCTTCCGCGTCTATAAGAATCCGTGAAAAACTTTGGTCGAGTATAAGAAGTTCGAAAATTCATAATCAATTCATATATATTCTTGTCAAAAATTTGAATTTTATCTGATTGATCTTTGATTGAACATCCAAAATAATAAATTTGAAAGTGCTACACGACTCTTTGATTAATCCATGTTATCTTCGATTCTCCCAACATTTAACACTACTTAGGCAAATGAGTCTAGACTTACAATCTCTTATAGTTAGCTCACATAACATGTGATGGATTCTTAATCTCTTATGACCAATGTAACTCAACCCAGATCACGGACGAGTACGTAGTGCGCTCATATCGCTAAACCTACATTCAAATAACAAGGAAGAATCAAACCCGGACCGGGCTTAATTGCTCCAATACCATATAAATTTCTGGAACCCCGAGAACAAAATGGAGAGTGTCGGCTAAAACTAAATACTTTCAAATAAAGTCAGAATCTACTATACATTTTGACCTAAAAACTTAAGTTGATAGGTAAGACTTCATTCTTTTATACATGTAAATAATATTTTCTTTGATTTCAAATGTGGGAACTAGAACAAACACTACTACAAAAACGAACAAATAAATCACCCTATTTGCATCGGTTAGCAGAATAAACGATTAAATAGGTCAAAAAAATTTGCCAACCCTTTAGTATTTAAATCGGTTATACCTCTAACTGATGCAAAAGGGTATTATTTGCACCGGTTATTAGGTATAACCAATTTAAATACTAAAAGTCTTTTACATCGGTTATACCTAGTAACCGATGCAAAAGGATATTTATAACTATGTTTTAAAATAAATCTATTGATATTAATTATATGATATTTCATTTTATTTTTTCTATAATTTGTGGTCAATATTTTAAAAATTTGACAAAAAAGTCACACTTGGAAGAATTTTGTTGAACATATGGAGTACTAAATATGGGTTCAATAAAAAAGCATGACACACAAAAAAGAGGTAATTTTTTAAAATAAATAAAGCTTTAGTTATTTTATCAAAAGTATAAAATTTAAAAAAAATGTACTGGTAATATTTTCCAGCTCTTCCCTGTTTTTTGAACCCCCTCCAATCTTTTCTAAACCCATTTCTTCCAATACTTTCAATTTCTTTCAGTGAAAAATAATTCAATAAAACAATGATCAAGAAAAGTAATTACTAATTCTCTATAAAAAGTAAAATAACTTGAAGTAATTAAATGCTCCAATCCTTCCGTCCAACAAATTTTTTTTCATTTCTTTTTTCAGCCGTCCTAAAAAACTTTTCTTATTCATATTAAAAAGTCATTTTTACCCATACTAACTCTTATTATACCTATCATATCACACTTTTTCACTATTAATCTACTAATCACATCTACTTTTACCCATCACATCTAAGAGTATTTTTTGAAAATCAATACCAAAACACACGCCTTTAAATCAATTAAAAGTCAAAACCAGAAAAGGTTTTGTGGGACAAAGGAAGTAATAACTATAAAAATAATATTTATCCATGAAAAGTAAAATAATAAGTAATTAAATGAAACTGTTAGAATATAAATAATTGTTCTTAGGCTACAACCACAAAGCTTGAGCTTTTGGTTGAGTTGGTTCCTTGACATGGTATCAGAGCCTCGTTGACTAAGAGGTCACGGGTTCGAAACTCTCCGCCACCCAGTTTAAAAAAATTAAGGTTTCACGTGCAAGGCTCGAAAAAAAACTACGCTTACACGTGAGGGGGCGTGTTAGAATATAAATAACTGTTCCTGGGCCACAACCACAAAGCTTGAGCTTTTGGTTGAGTTGGTTCATTGACAGAAACACTATAATAATTAACAGAAGATAATAAAACAATTTCAAAGGAGTGAAGTAGGTTATCCTATGTAAGTTTGGATTGAGATTGAGACTATTTTGCAATATTGGAAAAGAGGAACTTATTAACTAAGTTTATGTATTATTATAAGTAAAGAAAGAAAATAAAGTTCGACTGTAGAAGTAGTAATTGAGAAAATAGTTATAAGACGGGGTTATTTGTTAATGTATCAAATAAGTGGATGGAGTATTTTGTTTTACTCTCTCCGTCTTAAAATTAACTTTCCATTTGACTTTTCACGGTATGTAATGCAATACTTTGACCATCA